CAGGAAGGTGCCGAAGGACAGCATGACCCTTGCTGTGAGGGTCATGTGGTGGTCTATGTCAAGGGAAGCTAGTCTGTGGTGGTAAGAACTGCCACCTGTCTCCCCATCAGAGCCTCCCAGATAGCAAGAACAGGAGATCTCCCCCAGAGAATGAAATGCAGCCTCTCTTTCTCTTCTCATAACCTGAACTGTTCTCGTTTCAGATCAGCTCAAGCTCCTCTGTGGCCTTTTGTCTTTCTCCTTTCTTTTAAAAGGGCTCACTAGCCTCCTGCTGCTCAGGGAAGCTGCTGGGGCTGGGGCTGAGCCAGGCAGAGGGCAGGATCTGACAGGGCCTTCTGGTGGAGTGAGACAGTGGGAATAGGGGATACCAGCCTGTGGACTCCTGCCTGCTGTGCCTGTGTTTTGGGCTCAAGAGCCCGAGCCTTTCTTAGGCAGAAGAGAGGAAGATCTTTGCTGCTGAGTTCCTCTCTCTGGCCAAGTATCCTTCTGGAGATGAGGCTGCCAGGGGCTGGCTGTCTGAGCCATGTTGGTGCTGCTCAGCAGCTCAGTCCAGCTCTCTGGCTGTCAGAAGCACTGAGGATTAAATACACCATCATGTGTAAATCCTGTGTTTAAACAAATAATTCTCTCAGAATAACAGGCAGGCTTTTCCATATGAAGCAAAGCTGACACCTGACTCTTCACCTGGCTTCTCCCAGGAGAATATTTTAATGAGGCCCACAGCTGTAATATCACACAGAGAACATTAACAATGCTAATTACCTGAAGTTTAGCCCATGAATACTCAAACAACCATACCTTGGAGACAAATTGTTGTTTTGGCCCAAGCAAAGCACTGATGGCTTGCACCAATGGTTTGCAGAATGAACCAAGGCTTGTGAGAGCATCAGAAAGAAGGCGTTAGGCACACAGCAGGTCTGGTAGATAAAACAGTTGCCTGGACAGAAGGCGAATCTGAGATTGCAGAGAGAAATTGCCGTGAGGTGGCCAAATCCCTCCTGAGAAGCACAAAAGGTGTTGATAGGTCTCTCAGCATCATCTCATACATGATCAGCACAGAGAAAGGGGGGGTATTGAAGGAATTCTGTGCCAGGCAGCTGTAGCTGGCACCAATGAAGCCTTGCACTGTGCTAGGAGAAGCCAAAAGTCCACAAAGATGTGCAACATGTAAGCAAGGTCCTGCTTGGAAGACATCCAGGACTTTTGCTTCTTACCATATGCCCAGTCATTCTGCAGCTCAGGGTCACCACGGAGGTGCCTGAGTGTGCAAGGATGACTGCTCTGAACCAACCGGCTCCGTGTGCTCTGCTCCCAGTGCCAGAGCTCAGTCTGTGGCGCAGTAAAGAGAGCGATGTGTACTCTGCTGCATGAAGCTCAGCCACTGCTTCTGCCTTTAGCTCCTTATCACAAACACTGCAGGGCAATGCACAACAAGGGCCATTGTGCAGCAGAAGAGGAGACTCTGTCCACCCAGGTGTCTTTCGGAGGGAGATGGGAATTTTTAGCAGACTGTGTTGCTCTAATTGAGCACAAAAGCATCACATGGCAGGCAATAGCCCATTAGCAACACCGCGTGCTGAGAGGCCTTTTAATTATTTTTGTGTTCCCAGAGGACTACAGAATGCTCTTCGTAAGCATGGCATGGGAATGCCAATTAGATGGCCTCCAGCCCTGCTAGACAAGGTCCGGTCACATCACCTTGCGTCACAGGCTGAACCCTGCCCTCCATTTTCTCCCCAAGTCTGCTGTTCTCTGCTGTGAAATATTTATTAAAGGGAGCTGCTGGCTGTTGCGAATGTTGAGTCTCCTGTCTCCTTGCCAAGGTCAGGCTGCCGGGGAGGTACCTTTGCTCTCCGTAGCTTCTCTTTGACACTGACAGGTCTTTCTTCCATTCAGCACAGGCAGACAGCCTTGGAAAGAAGGCTCTTTCAATTCCCATGGATTCTTATTTCCAGGGAATAAGGTGGGTAGTAAACAAATCACTAAAGCAGAGGCTGCGCAACAGCGAGCTATTGTGGTATCAGAACACACAGTTGCACTAGGGCATTTCAGGAGCATGTAATAAAAAGCCACTAAATCAATTTCTGCTGGGACGAAAAGCCACCTTCACTATTTGCAATCACCGTTGTATCTTAGAAAGCTTTTACACTTAGAGATGAAATCCTGGTCACATGGAAGTGGACGGGAGGCTCACCCTCTACTGATGTGGTGCTGGGTTTGCACCCTCTGAGTTTAACTGCGGTGTGCTGAGTTTGGATTTGCTGTTTCTTATGGTGTTTGTATCAGGAAAAGGTGAAGGCTTAAACAACAAGATGTTTGATAACCTTTTATCAACTGTACTGAATGAAATAAGCAGGCACAGCTGAACTTGCTCAAGAAGGACTACAGTTAAAGTTGTCAAATAGATTTTCTCCCACTGGGGACATATTAAAGGAGTAGGAAAACATACCAGGGATAAACTCTATTAAAGTAAGATGTGAGAACCCAAGTATGGGGTTGGCTGTGGAAATAACTTTCCCTAACAATGACCTCTAAAGGAAGTTTGGGGACCAAATTTGAGTACCAAGTGCACATAAAGCATGCACCTCACAACTGGGCTATGCCTGTTCAGCTGCAAGGACCCAGATGCTTAGGGATGTCTGGGGCTGGAAGTGCAGCTTGTTCTCTGCAGCAGCTGGTTCCTAGCAAACCTACAAACTTGTCTCTCATTTGCCATCCCTCTTGACAGCCAATAAGTCCCAGAACATTTGTTCTCTCCTCGCTTGGAAGCTGCCCCACAGGGCCAATGCTTTCCGGCTGTTCCCTATGCCTCTTATGGCTTTTTGTACGTGTGCTGGGCTGTGGGGATGGGAGGGTGGGATCATGGAGAAGCTGAAAACACTACCCAGCACAGGACCGCGCCACAGAAATATGCAGGGACATAATGATGTTTTCTGTTTTCTCCTTTTTTTTCTCCCCTCCTAGTTATTTCTAACATTTTACTTGTGTTTTTGACACCTGTTCAGCCTTGACCTGTCATTTTCTCAGAATCAGCAACGATGCTGAGATCATTTTCCCGTGAAGTGATGGCTGATTTAGAGCTCCTCATTATGCATGTATAATTAGGGTATTTTTTTTCCCCAGAAGCATTACTGTGCATTTATCGACAGTAGATTTCAGCTGTCGTTTTATAACCCAATCTCTTACTATCATGAAAAACTTCTTAAGCTCTTCACAGTCAACTCTTATTTTGACTGCCCAGAACAGTTTTTGATTCTCAGTAAACTTCTCACCTCACTTTTCATCTTCTTTTCCAAATCACTTGTAAATAGATTAAAAAATACACGTCCATCTTAGATCTCTGGGTAATTTTCCTCGCCTGTAAAAACATATTGTTTATTTACACCTTTATGCTCTACTGCTACAAATACTCTGTGTCTTTTATTGGAACCACCAAACTGGCAATCACACTATTATTCAATAGCATTGCACTGGAAAAAGTGTGGACAGACATTACAGAAATAAAACAAGCAGCAGTCCCATTTTTAGGACTTAGCAGACAAGCTATATTTGTTTTGATCTGTGATTCTAATTATCTTGTAAATTCCTACCACTAAATTTAATTTCTCACTGTATGTAGCATGTAATATATCTTTCTTTTTGTTTTCTAAATGTATCACCACTTCAAAGTTCATTAAGCCTTTCCCAAAGACTACAGCTGATAAAATCCTCATCTGGATTCAAGGTATTAGCAGAAAGACTAACTCCTCAAGTCTGGCACTAAGGCAAAGTATTGTCATAAATCCATAGGAAACCAGATTTCATTAGTTCCCTTGGTCATGGAATTAATTGTTTGCTCCAGTGCTGGGCACCTGATCATGGCTGCAGGCAGCAGGAGAGCCAGAGGCTTTTTAATGTTGTTCCTCTGCTGTGTTTTACTTGATTTTTGTGTCAGGATTATGAGATGCTAGGGATGTAAAACAGCTACTGGGAAGACAACAGCTGCCAGAAACACAGCCTTCTGTTTTGTACTTTGAGCAGTGCATACCATCTAGAGTTAAAAAAATAGTGCTTAGAATAATTTAGAGCTGAAATCTGTTACGTTTCTTCAAAATTACCCGTGCTTGGTTTAATAGATGCTGGATTAATTGCGTGCTGTCTGAGAGCTTTTGTTCCTCTCCGGAATGGCTGTGGTCTGTGCCACAGAGGTGAATGCTACTCTACTGTATGGCAAATTTGACATTGAAGGGCTCTTTGTAGAAATAAGACTGCCATTCTCTCCCATTGTTCCTTTGATTAAACAGTGCCAGCAAAAGAGACAGTTTTGATGGTTGTTTTCATATTATGGGCATCTGGCTACTAAGAGCTGGGCTGAGATCACCAAATCACAAGCCGCTTTAGAGATGTCTGTTTATGCACGCCAATTCCACAGTGATGTGATCCAGAAAAGTATTTGGATATGTACATTGAGGGGGCAGGGAGGCGGGCAGGAGAGAGAAACAGTTTCTGCGATGTGTGGTGAAGACCGTTTGTTGCTCATGTTTTCCAATACACCTCCTCTGGTACCCAAACCTTCAGCTTATCAGTACCCCTGAAATAACCCTGGACTGGGGATGCTTTTCCTCCGCTTTTAAATCAACAGACTCCCAGTGACCTCTGAGGTACTTTGTGATAAAAATAAATCTAACACATTACACAGTGGGATCATTCCTTAGCTGCTCTCCAGTTAGAACCTCTTTGTAGATACATCCATGTGAATCAACACTTAGTGATGGCTTGGCGATCCCTCAGACGCTTCAGCTTCAGTCTCAGGGACTCTGCAAGATTATAATGTCTTTTGGATAGGTTGCTGGCATCTTCTGTTTGCAGAATAAACTTTAACACCCAGAGTTCTTCCCAAAATTTTTATCATCTCTGTTAGTATCAAAGCAAACAAGGAAGATTTTGGGAAGAGGACACTCCCAACTCTTTCCACACATCTGTTATCCAAACAGATACAAACGCACAACAAAGGCTACAGGAGCATTTTTCCTTGTACTTTTAATCGAAGTGCTTTAATATAAAAAAAAAAAAAAGGTACATACAAATTCTAAACTCTTGTTTTCTGCAATGGTTTACACTTTTTCTAAGTTGCAACAGAATATTAGCTACGCAGGTAGTCAACACAGCTAACAAACTACAATACAAATTGCTAATAACATTACAAGATGCTTGGAATACATTCTTGCAAATGTGTATGAATACCAAAGAATTCCTGTGAATTGAGAGGTTTCCAACACACATTGCCCCCTTGTCTCAAGCCCCTGTAGGATTTCACTCACAGGTTTCCTAACCACCAAAATATGGAAGGGCCGATCCTTGGCTGGTACAAGCTATGGTGGCTCCATTACCATCCACAGAGCAATGTGAGTTGTCGTGATTCACTCTGTGCTCAATAGACACCTTCAGGCGGGGGTGAAACATCATGCAAGTTTCCATGCATGACAAACTGATGGGCCTTCTTGCTCAGTGCTGGTTAGTGCATTAAGCAATACATTTTTTCTGAGGGTTTCAAGGCCGATCTCTTTCTCCAGGAAGCAATCAGATTAGGATGACTGAAGAACAATTGTGAGCACCCTGGATTCTTATACTGCTCTATGTAAAGCTGGGCAAATTTCCCTCAAAAAAAGCCAAGTTTTGAAGCCACCTTGTCACCTCTCCTCCCCCACAAAAGGCTGGCAAAGCTATCAAGCACTTAATAAAACTGAGTGTGAGATAAGAAGAGCAAAGGTCCTCCACACAAGCCATGTCAAAACAAATTTCTACATACACACATTGTAACAATACAGTCACTTCAGAGTTCAAAAGAAAGGTTCACACTTCACAAAGGAGGGAAAGGGAAAAAAAGTAACACAAGAAACTGTCCTTACAATTATGTACTGGTTCCCAAACCTGTAACCTTAGTCTGTGGCCACCAAAAGTAAACGATTTCCAAGAAACATAGTGTAAACTCCAATAAGGCCTCACAGGGTGTAGCAACAGGCAACCTGGAGGTAGTGTACATGGCTGAAAAGGGATTTGAAAGAAAGATGGGCATTTTTCTCCTATTCTGGTACATTTACAAAACCAAAGACACAGTGACAAACACACTACAGAGATGTGTCTCTCCAGCCTTGTGAGCCTAACTATGTGTCACCCAGGATTCAGAAGGTTTTTCCTCTGAAGTGAGAGTGGTATCTAGGGTTTTCTTCAGGCAGGAGCCCTTATTTGTTCCCCCTCACTTGGTTGTTTTGGCTTGCATCTGTACTTACCACGTGACCAATAGACATTCGGGTTCATCTGAGATTGCTGGGTTTTTCTCACGAATGTCAGTGCAAAACATCCTTAGCACTATCGCCCTGAAGACCAACATCTCGACGGCACACTTCATTCAGCCTCCAAAACTCCTCCAGGCTATTCACTGACTATTGTAGCTTTAGTTAAACGGGAAGGATTTTTAGGGACTTTTTCATACCACCACTTCATTTGGAGTGTGGGGGACTGCCATCCTCTGAGCTGGATATGGGAACACTGCCCTCGGCCTCTTGGGACCTGCTGGAAAGGTGGGGTCCTGAAGTGAAGCATCCCAGGAACTCGGGAGACAGGAGATAAAGGCAGGTACAGACCGAAACTCTTTCCCTTTGTACCTGTTTTTTTTTCTCTCAGGAGTGAATAGACTCTTGGAGTCTTTTCCCAGGAACTGCCCTGCCTCAACTGTGACATTTTTCCACCTCAACTGCAGCTGTGTTTTGCATCAGACCAAGCCTACCCAGCCCCAGCACCGCGCTAGGCCAGCCCAGCCCCGCCATTGTCACTCCACATGGTTTGCTGTGTCATAACCTACGCCATCATCTCAGCAGCACAGGACTTTCCTTTGGATGAAATATCCTTCCAGGTTTTGTTTTAACCTAGGGAGGAGGGGACTAGCTAGGTAATATTTTCTGCTATTGGTGTTTTTTTGTTTCTTTCCAGTTTTAGTAAAATCATTATTTTTCCTTCTTCATTCAGACTCCTCCTAATTTTTACCTTGTCTCTGTTGGGGGTGGAGGCAGGGAAATAAACAACAAAGGAGACTTCATCTCAATGGAGGTCTCACCTCCTGAACATATTGTCATTAAACCAAGACACTGACTGGCATTGGATTATTTTGGTGGGAAGGTACAGAAGTTCACAAACCCATGACAAGGTTAGGTTTTTGATTCATCAGCACATCATGAAAAGATTGAACACCAGTGGCTCCATCTCAGAGTATTGACACAAAAGTCAAGTTCAGTTCTGCTGCAAAGAGGATAAAAGGCTATTTAGGGGATACAGAAGTTGACATATTGTAGAAACCATGGTGGTGGCTCACAGTAAGAATTCTTCAGCTGTATTGCCTTTTCAGTGACATTGATTTTTCTATTCATATTAATTTGTAAGTATGTATGTTTTTTTCCAACCACATTAGCTTGACACCACAGTTATTACATTACAAAAACCACTATGATGTGGTCACTCAACATACATTATATCATGTATAGGTAGGTGTATGTACAGCCAGGAATGGGGCAGTTTCCAACCCATATTTTGTTGTTTCCATAAGGCAGGCATATCCCAGTTAGCTGAGACAGACATAACCTAGAGCATCCTCAAATGTTGAAAAGAAGGCTATGAGTAAATGAGCAGATAGAAACCCCAAAAACTAAGAAACAAGAATTAATGCTAGTAGAACATCTCCTGCTTGGTAGGTCTAAAATGACTCCCACTTCAAATAATTTTATGATGCAGAATGTGTAGTATGTGCAAAGAAAAAGCTACTCTTTCCCCTGTGAATGCAGGGAGTGGATGTGCTTTCTCAGTATTGCCTAGAAGTTATCCAGTCCACCTGCTCTTCCCTAGCCCACTGTCTTTATAACAATGATTCCTTTGCTTCAATGCCTTACTGGTAAGTCTAGACTATTTAATTACAAACAAACTTCAAGGTTAATGTATTAGAAGACTGGAAATAGATACCCTGATACTTTTAAAACAAATAATGCATTGTACACTTAGTGCTTCTCTGAATCCTCTTTCCACAGAGCAAAGCATCACAATTGTAAGATTTCCATCAGTTCTGAGCTGGGGTAGCCAGTTCTAAGAATTAAAAATGTAGATCAGGCTTTCACAGTCTTTGCTGCCCTGCCAAAAATACTCCCTGCCCTCTAGACAAACCAGTTCATTCTGAATATTTCTGTGATGTAGACACTTCTGTACTGGGATCCACAGCCGGTGATCAATTGCTTTTATGCTGACCAGTCATCAGGAACATTTTTTGATCCCTTTCTGCATTTCTTAAACTATGCGCAATAAAAATATAACTAAAACCAATAAATTTGGAAGACTCTTTATCCCATACCCAAATTTATCTATTAGACCAGGAAGGACCACAGGAATGTGCTCAGTTCCTCAGAAAGTTCTCAGAAATCAAGTCGTAAGCTTCTCATATTTTTTCATCTTCATGCTGAGCCAAGCCTTAGCACACAACTGTTGTGCATTTCACTGAAAGGGCTTTAAACAAGAAACAAACTTTGCTGATTTCATCACTGCCACATTGAGCATCATCCCAGGTAAGAGACTCTCTGAAGACCAAGAGAGCCTCTCGGGTACACTTGTCTAACAACCTTGTCTTCAGACTATCCTGGGACCTTCCAAGACCCTTATAAAAGTCCTTCAGTTATTTGAAAAGGCCTTCCAGGACACAGTCTGTCAACAGGAGGCAAGCCACAGAAATGCATGATACCGTGGCTGGACACAGACTATGGTTCTGCTGTCTCTGATGACAAGATGGGAAGAGTCCAGATGGACTCCAGGGTTCAAAGCTAGGCATCATTTAAAATACCTTTTCATTTCCAAACTGAGGAGATGTGATAGCAAAACCAATAAGGTACCTCAAATAAAAGCCCTCAAGTTACTTTTTGAAGCCATTTTTAGTGATAAACCAGTGCCAGATAAAGGAATAAGCCTCTGAAGTCAGAACACAGTTCTTGGATATTTTGATGCCAAATTGAATTACTCTTAAAAGGGGGAATATCATAAAAGTCTTTACAGTCTATTTTTAAATGAGAGGATGTTTTTCATGTAAGTCTCTGTAACAGAATAATTTGAAAATAACTGAGGAAACCATGCAGTCACAGATGGTCTGTGTTCAGTGTGCTCTTGTGAAGCTGCTGTGACTCCACTGCATTAAAAAAAGACATACATTATTCTGTAGCAATTGTCCATGACACTGAGACTTACAACATAAATATTGCAATACCTCATCCAGTTTCTGTATGACACACCATGTTTTATTGCAGTAATGTCTCATAATAGATGAAGGTGCTGCAGGGTCCTGTTTGGCCAATTGCTATAGGACCCTGGAGTGCACTTTCATAAGCAGGGAATATCTCCCACGGGAAGGGAGTTAAGATGAAGACTGGATGCCAGAAGAACCAGCTAAAAGCTTCACATACGATCCTAGACAAATATTTTCTGTGCCTCACACCCCCACTTTTCCCCAGCACCTCCATTAAATGGGAGGTTCATTTCCTCACTTGCAGATATTGCTGGATGCAAGATAATGGAGCACGGCCCTGCCATGCACAGCAGAATGCCTCTAAATCAAGAAGCCAGTGTTTTTTGCCAATGTGACAGATTGAAAAATGCTTCTGGTACTTCCATGAGTGGGTTACTAAGCAACACTTTGGCTTCCAGAGAGTAGCCCTGCTGGATGTGATCTCATGTGCCGGCAGCCTGACCACATCCCCAGCTGGAGCACTGGGGAAAGGAGGGAGAGTGTGTGCCGGCAGCAAGGCTGCATAGCTTCACTTGGCTGTAATACAGGTTCCTTTGAGATGAGCTGTAACCACAAAGGAATAATATCGCAGGGATGATGGTGGGCTCACTCACAGGATGATTAAAAAGCAAAGACATAGAGTCAGGACATATCATTGGGAGAGAGTAAAAGCTTAGAAGGTTTAAACACAACTCAATAAACCTATGGTGTATCCTGGGTGCATGTCTCAAAGCAAATAATGCTGAAGAGGACTGACTCCAGGGAGAGATGCTAAAAATGAGAGGGGCTGGAATGGATTTCCACATGAAGAGACAGATCAAAAGACTAGAACAGATTAGAAAGGGGTAAGAGAGGGGAGGTTAGAGCTGACTGAGGTGAGGTCTGATACAGGAGAGGAAAATATGCTGCTGTCCACTGCTTCCTGATATAGCAGTAAGGGACTATTTACAGAGAATCAGAAGGCAGTACACTGAAAGCTGCTGAATCAAACTCAAGCTCCATGAAGTTAGAGAGAAATTTTCCCTGGTTTGTGTCTGCTCCATCACTATCTTTTGCTGAGAACTCTAACTTTCCCTTGGAGCCTGTGACATGGCATCACCAGAACCAGGCTGATCGAGAACAGAGCACAAATAGACTAAACTCATCTGGGAAAGAAATAACTATTTTCTTACATGTGTTGGTTGTGCTCAACTATTAAGCACTTTAATAAATATTAAAGTCTCATCATGGCTAGGCTTCACGAATGAAGATTTGAGAAGGGCTCTACCCACGCTTGCTACAAGCACGCTGATGGCTAAAAAGGCCATTGCAAGTTAGACAAGTCCGGTTGCAGAAGGCACAGCAGAAAGACTCCCCAGGTGATATCAACGAGACGCGATTCTTTCTGCATTGTCTTTTCTTCTCTAGAGTGATCCTGCGTGTGTTCTCAAAAGCAGCAGCAGCGTTATAGATGGTGTGTCTGTCTCCAGGCCTCCCGATTGGAGGCCAGGGTAGACCAATAGTGATGATCAATATGGCCAAGGCTGAGGGATTGTTTCAGGCAGTCCTTGTATCTCCTCTTTGGGGCTCCTCTCTTGCGGCAGCCAGTGGCAAGTTCCCCATAGAGCACGATCTTAGGGAGGCGGTAGTCCTGCATCCTGGAGACGTGCCCTGCCCAGCGCAGCTGTGTTCTCAGCAGCATGGCCTCAATGCTCGTGACTGCTGCCTGTTCAAGGACAGACGTGTTGGTCACATAATCCATCCAGTGGATGTTTAGGATTGTACGAAGACAACGCTGATGGAAGCGTTCTAAGAGACGCAAGTGGTGGCAGTAAATGACCCATGATTCAGATCCATATAAAAGAGTAGACAGTACAATGGCTCTGTAAACGCTGATCTTTGTACTTCTCTTCAGGTGTTTGTTTTGCCACACTCTTTTATGGAGTTTACCAAAAGCAATTTAATAAATATTAAAGTCTAAGACTTTTAATAAAGACTAAAGTCTAAGACTACTTAGCCTGGGCCTCTTTAGGACACCAGGCTAACCTCTTCACTTAAAGTCAATGGAGGAATGTAGACTGAGAACAGCTGAGAATCAGTCTCACCTTTTAAAGTATTGGTACTCTTTCATGTGTTGATAAGTCATACCTCAAATAGGATTGACATTAGGTTATAAGGCATAATGTTTTGCCTTATTATGCTAGAATGCTAACACACCTTTGCAAAACAATTAGGATTTTCTCCTTCCTCCTTCTTTTCCTTCAAGGTAAGTAATACTTATTTTGGGATTCTAGAGCTATTCTAGATCAAAGTTTACAGTAAATAACACTAATATGATACACAAATATATATGTATATATACTTGTATATATAACTTAAAGTCTTCTAATTAAAAATCTATACTATAGCATCACAAGGTAAGGCTCTGCCAATGTATTAATGGGCATGCCACTATTTTGAGATCATTATTCAGCATTTTAAAATACACTTAAAAGTTGATGACAACACAGCTTTTATCTAAGAGAACTGCTATGGTGTTGTAGATTTATCTTCCTTCTATTTTCCTTTTGAATAATGAGGACAATGTAGTCCCAAAGTCAAATAAAGGATCAACAGTAAAGATCATAACTCAGTCTTTTTCACCCCAATTTTAATTGTTTATGTTTCTTTGCTACCACTTTTAGTGAAAAAATACCAGTGTATACCAGTGGCACATTCAATCTGAAATGGCAAATGAAGAAAAGGTGAACCAATAAATTAACATGTACACAAGCTTCTGATTCTTAGGAGATCAGACTGTCTAGCAAAGATGACAATTTACTTAAATGCTCTTGAGCTTCTCTTTAAATCTGAAATTCAATGAAATAAATTATCTCCAGGCATATCCCCATCACTTCTGACCCAGGCTGCAGTGACGGAAGAAAGTCTAAGTAAACAGGACTGCTGATCTCTGCTGCAGCACAAAAATGGAAAGCCATCAAGGAAAAGAGGAAATGTTTCTCCCTGGTTTGTTTTTCTTTTTAAAGAACATTTTATAACTAAAAGGTCTATATGAACTATTGTATGACCTTAATGTGGAGTTGGGATAAAATAAACACATGAGTTTGATTCCCTGCAATGATCAAAGGTTTACTGAACACATCCAAGGGAGAGATAAAAGCTGATGGTTTGATTTGGACTTCTCTATTTCTGAATTCCTCTAGACCTTTCAAATCAGTTTTAGTACATACTGTCTCTGAAATATCATAAGAAAAGAAAAAAATGAGAATGAACAAGGAAAGATATTCTGTAATAAAGCTCAGAGGAGATGACACCTGGAAATTCTTCATGCACTTGCAATAGGCTTCCCAAAAGGTTGCAGGGCCACATCTCCACTGTTTTACTCCTAGGAGAGCTACGAAGGAAGAGTACATTAGGTATAATACTTGTGTCTTGTCCTTTGATTTTCAGCAGATACTTCTCTTTTAGTGTTTCTGGCAAATTTCACACTGGCAGTGCATAGTGAACATCAAAATGCAGTCCTGTGTCCAGTGGCAGCAGGATGTCAAGGCTGGAAAGAAATCTGTGTTCCACCAGCATTCGTATGTGGCAGAGGTTTTGGCCTTCCAGGCAGAAAATCTTGAGAAATAGAAAGGAAATCCTGTAGGCACAAGGCTCCTTGATGAGACTTAGCAGTTTCAAAGTTTTATATGGCAGTAGCAGGAAGAGTCCTATTCAAGTGGACGAAATGTTGGACTGTGCTTTCTCATACACAGGTGAGACAAGGCTAGCAAAGAGCCTTCAGACTGCTACAAAAAGGAACGCTTTCCCAGCCAAGCAATTCAATCATTCAAGACATGGAAAGGAGATGAACATGAAATGAATGTGTCATCATTTATCAGTCTTCCAGAATACAAAGAATAAAACCTTCCCTTCTCTCTCCCTAGCTCCTGAAAAGTAGGAAGAGATGAAATATTTCCTGAGTCACTGTGGAGGTGAAACCTATAGTTTGTTACAATGAACTGAATCAGGTGGATGACTAGACTGACAACATTCTGAAAGAAAATATCAATACCTGAAAAATCAGCAGTTTTCAGGTATGAAATGTTCTACTGTTAACTTTGTGCACACAAAGGGCAGTAAGCTGATCTGAAAATATTAGTTTCCTCATTTCAAAACAACACTGACAAAATATATTCTAAATGCACTAATACTTTATATTTTCATCCAATGTGGCAGAAATGCACAAGAAATATTAATAAGCTATTGGCTTGATTCCCCAGCTGCAAAATGCCTGGCATTCTCACTGGCATACAATAAGAGGGTAATTCCTAAAAAGCCTTCTGTCCCCCAGAAGTACTTGCTGTTCTTTACCTTCCCCCCTCAGTTAAGTGCCTCAGTGCACAGTGGTAGTGGGGCTAGCCAAATACCCCAGTGGTGCAACTGGAGAGACAAGACAGTGACACACCTGTCCTCTACCCTGCTCAGGCTTGGCCATCAGGGTAGCAAAATTGTATTTGCACATCCTGCAGCCTGGTTCCTCCAAGACAGCCACTAACCCCAAGGCCTGGGAGTACTGCCTGAGAACCTCAGTCACTCTCACCCTTGTCTGCAGTGCAGTGAGACCTTGTGCCCCAGCCAGCACCACCACAGACAGAGCTGGGACACTGTCAGCACTCTCTCTGCAAAACTACTCCCCAAGAGCAGGGACTTGATGCTTTGGCCCCAGATGATGGCACCAGCACTGATAGAATGGAGATGCTACACTGCCATGGGGACATGACAGGGAGCGGGCTGGGCAGCTGCACTTGTAAATTAGTCCCCTTCAAACCAGGAACACCCCACCTCCTCTCCTTTCCCCTTCAGCAAACCTGAGTTTACCTTATGTAAACCAGACCAGGTTTGATGCCTGCCCCAAAATGCCATTTAACTGCCTCTGGGGCTGGAGGTCATTGCTGGTAATGATATCACCACTGAAGACAGATTTGGCTGCCTGCCAGTCCCAGCTCCTGCCCTTTTTTACCAGAGGAGAAGCACAGCCACAAAAACTAACCTTTTTTTGTTTCTCCTGCAGGATCTTGGTCCTTCAGCATTAAACTCCTGGCTTGTCACCTGTTCCTATCTCCCAGGCAGTGTCATGGGCCCATGGCTGGCAGTAATAAATGGTGTAAGGAGCAGTCCAGGAGAGTAGTTCTTCTTACTCTGCCAGTGCAGCCTGGGTCTGCAGCACTGTGGTAAATAGCAGCACTCAGGGCTTGCACACCATTGGTAGGCTCCAAGTGCTTTGCAAAAACACCTAATTGCCATCCTGCCTTTTCTCCAGAAGCAAGCCATAGATTTGAGCACCTGCCCACTTCAGTGCTGCAATCCCCGTTTTAAGTAGAAATAAATCCTGTGCTTTATAACTTTGCTTAGGTAGGGTGCAGTGTCCTGCTCCCAGACTGGCTCAGAGCAGCTCTGACTGTCCATGTCGGCAGCAGCGGCACAACCCACAGCACTGCTGTACAGGCTGTCTGCCGTTCAGGTCAGCTGTTGTTAGCTGAGGTCTGAGTTGGGCAATGAGGATGTGAGCACCTCTGCCTGTTTGGCCACAGGCTGTTTCTACAGACACCTCTTGTTGTGGGGGCTGGGCCAGCACCCACCTGCAGTGGTGGTCACCCTGCTCAGCTACATACTTCCCCTGTCCTGTCATGCAGCGTATCATGCAAACGTATGAGATGCTAAGATCATAATGAACCTAAACTGGTTAGAGAAGAGGGCTTTCCTGTCCTGTCTGCCTGCTCCTCTCCACAGAACTTATTTTCACAGAAACGGAGAACTGGTCAACTCTTAAACTGTCAGGTGACTTCCTCTTGAACAGCCCACAGCGTCCCATAACAAAATTGACTAGACAATCGATCTTTTAATCATGTCCTCCATAAGATTTGCTTTTTCTTCCCTCCCAGACTGGTGCAAGATTTTTCCCAATATAAATTAGATTAACTTTGAAATTCAAATATGGAAGTGATTCATTCTCAAAAGATCGAAACAATCATTTTCAGCTCTTCTGATATTTCACCCATATTTTTTGTAGAACTAATTTACCAGATTGGACTTGGATATGTGAATAATTTACGGTTCTCTCAAAAGCACATTTTTTAAAAATGAATTTACTCCACACAGAAAAATCATGCCCAGCCCTACCTGGAATTTTCTTGCCCACAATGCACATGATCCCTCTGGCAGTGACAAGCTTAATTAATATTCCTTTCTACCCCCATCCACTCTCACCGCCCAAATGACCCCTGTCAAAACACATACTGTAGGTGTAAAGAACATGGAACAGCCCCTTAACACTGCATGGTGAGGGAGAGTCTTCCTTTGGGGCAGAATTTACTACACTCATTTTAAAGAGAGATGAGAAATAATGATTTCAAAGTTATTTAGAGTAGCATTTGCTTCAAAAGAACACACTTAACAGTGACTTTCCTAGCTTCAGAACTGGCCTGAGGTACATTTACAGAAATGCTGTAAACTCAGTGCAATGTTTCTTAAAGGTATTGCCTTTTTCAAACTACAGGGGAGGCTCTGTGATGGCAACATGAGTTCACCTCCTCAGTGGTACCCCTTGGATGCTCCCCTTTTTGAGACCATTTCTCCACCCCTCTGGTTTCTGAGTCTGCCACTGCAGATGCTCCCCTCCCCAGATGGTCTTCCCACCATGGACAGAAAACTGGGCAAAACAGCACTCAAATGTGATACAGGGAGAGCCAGAAGCAAGCCATGGTTTCACACAATATAGTCTGAATTGTTTAATCTCTGGAACAGCCTGAGGTAGCTAACACCAAAGTAGCTGCCATTGTGGGCATGAAGGAGGTAATGTGCAATTTACTGCATCACTAAAAATTACTTTCTGTCACTGACCTTTTTTAGGTTATCCAAGATGAGTTAAAAATTAGAAATATCAGGTGCATGTGTTTAACCAACATACTTCAAGGCCATTATGCATTATTTATTTAGATATGTCCTCTCACATAGTAAACATTTGTTTTCATAATAAGAACAGGAAGAACAATTACATCATCCAGCCTGACTTCCTCTATAACTTAAGCCTTTTTCAGTCAGACATTCCTGTGATTAACTAAGATTGCATTTAATTAAAATACATCTAGGAATCTGTCCGTCCTTGATTTGAAGACTTCAAGGCATGCAGGATCTACTATCCTCCATGGCAGTTTGCCCTGATTTGTGCTAAAATATTGCTTGCCTTACCTACGCAGAAGAGTTTTGAAAAATGCTAGAGTTTGTTCACCTCAGGGGCTGCCAACAACCTTGCATGTCTTGCGACAGCTCGAGAGAGAGAGAGAGCAGCACAATGAGCCAGAGCTCTCACATTTTTTACTGGCCAGAGCAGATCACTGCTATAGCATTTGCCTGACAGCAGATGGTGTCGCCCAGGTCATTCCTCCCAGCAGTCATGCAGGAAGACTATCCCCAGCAGGATAGCAGGTGACAGGGAATCAGTTATCAGGGTTTCTAAACTCCTCTTCCGAACCCCTGTGGTTGTGCCACAGCCCCTCCACATCTCAGTAAAGCTGGTACAGCATTGTTCACTCGGAGGATCAGTATTTCTAAAGTGAGCCAAGACGTATGGCTGTGAATGCATGCTAAAGATGTCACTGAGTGGCCCATTCCAGCCCCTTATCTCTAGACCCAGCTAGTGAAGTAGGGAGGCTGTAGCTGGAGGAAGTTCTCAACATGGAAGAGCTCACATCTAATCTGCTGCCAAAGAGGTCACATATAATCTGCTGCCTGGCTACACAGCAGAGAGCTGGAGAGCTGAGCTGGTCCAGTGTGGGTAAGTACTGTGTCACACTGATCTCAGGTGGCAAACAATGTTTTGCCGTTGAAGATCTAGCAATCTCTCCTTCCATCATACCACATTAGTGATGAAACTTCAGCAAGGCCACTGAGGAGTATTTCTGAACATGGAAGATACTGTTCGCTGCAGAATGGTTGTGGGAGGAGAAAACAAGTCAAAATAAAAAAGCAAGTGTGTGCAGAGAGCACAGTTCCTTTAGCAATGTCTCTGTCACAAAGATGGAGATCACTGAAATTCTGCACCAGCCAGTCCCACCAACTATGCTACCTGAGACTTGCATGATGAGCCACCATTGTCTTCTTAACACATAGGCTAAAACAACATGCATTTTCCTCTCCATTTGAGAATGCACATTGTCCTACTCCTCCCCCTAAGTCAATGCAAATACCAGGAAACTGGAAGGCAATGGCCATTTTTATGATGGAACTCTCAAAGACCAGCAGGGCTGGTAGCTGAGGATCAACCCAAACACTAACCCACATCTGCTGCTCCCACTGCCAGCACCACCATAAAACTTTCCTCCAGCACACACACTTCTCAGCTCCAATCACTCTTGCGAAAACGTCCATTTTCTGTGAGAGAGCACAGTGGTGTCTCTGGTGAATACATATTTGCACTCCTGGCCACAGCACCAACAAGACTTTGTGTAAGACTGAACCATGTGATGGTCCCAAAGTACGACGTCAGCAGGTTCAACCACACCAACAGATAACAGTGTAAACGCTCATGCAGATGAGCTGTGTCCTCCAAGTGCTCACCAGGGCCAGGGCAGTTCCAGACTGGAAGGAAGACGCTTCATTTTACATTTGTTCTAGAGCTTTGTCCCAACAAGCACCAGACCCCTAATGCAGGTGCACAGGCTTCCACTTGGCTCTCCCCACACCTTATGCTCGCATTTCTTTGTGCTCTCAGCATCATCTGAGGAGTTGTCACATGGAAAGCCTAAGATAATGAATGAATTTCGCAGGTAGCAACTGCAGCTGCTCCAAGAGAGATGTGGTCCAATATGATTAGGATAAATACTTTCTAAATTTTTTTTTAACAGGTTAAAATACTACTGCTGCAGCCTGAGAAGAGGCTGCAACAGTAGGTAGGAGAATCCAGCAGCTGACACCAGCCACTTCTGAACAAAAAACAACAGGGCAAGAAACTATCTAAATAATGAGGGAAAGTGCATTAGGTCAGTATAGCTCATTCTAACTAAGTGTAATTAGCATGAGAAGGAAGAAAAAATAGCTTACCAATATTCTTTCACAATGCCTTTCAAGTGTTTGGGGACATTTAATTTTGCAGAAAAGTTTCAACCAAAATAAACATGCCAAATATAATCTTCAGTGTCCTTACCTACTTGTACAAGCAACATGAGTCACATGCTGCTTGGGAATCTCATAAATTTATATTATAAACCCACTTAAATCTATGCATAGAAAGTAATATACATCATACCCAAGAAAATGGTTATTCTGGGCTACTTGAAGGAGTTGAAGGAGTGGCAGGTTTTTAACTTTAAAGATGCATCTTGTAGAAGTTATTGATGTACTTATCCTCCTAGTGATGTTTTAAATTATTCAAAGAGACTCAACTGCAATAAACTTTTTTCAAATTATGCTCTCACTTAATGTTTCTTCATTTCACATGCAGAAGTTTGTTTACATAAAGTAGAACTATTTCTATTTAAATTTTAAAATCATTATGAAAATCCTTCTTTTCATATTAGGTTCAATAAATTAGTCTTTCCTTTAGAGCTAGGGAAGGTCTTTTTTGACAAACTATCTCATTTGCCAAAAAATGCAGTTGTAGAGAATTTGGGGGTAAAATTATTTGGAAATTCAGCTAGACCTTGTTAATTACTTAGACAAAAAACTGTAACACTTTGGAATTGCTGGGAGCCCAGATTAGGCAATTCCCAGAAGAAAATGAAATTTTAAGTTGCAGAATGTTTTAGTTTAGAAATTAAAAAAAATTAATCAAAAGTGCTTCATTTGACCCTAAGTCAAAGTTGTTCCTTTTTGCAGCTTACTTTAGATTGCTCAGAAAATTGACAATTTTACTTTCTATGATCAACTTAAGGTGGCATTTTTTCTTTTGTTCAATTTTCTGAGCTCAACAGAAAGTCAGTTACATACATAACCATTCAGAATTTTCTGAATAAAACAAAATTATGAGGCTGGACTGTATGCTGGCATTGCAGTGGGACAGTGTGCCTGAATATCCTGAAATAGCAAAGATGGTAGGCTTTTCTAAATATCTATCACTGCTGCTCTTCCTTCAGATACACTAAAGACAAGTTTCTAAAGATCTGCCAAATCAGGGCATTTGATCCAATGGAGAAAGTGTCACCCCAAAAAAGTTTTAATCAGTGAATACGTGTTGTTCATGAACTGGGAAGTATTGAACTAATTGCAACTCTCAGAGCACCCCTCATAAACACCCATTCATATACAGAGTGGTTGCCATAAAGAGATTTCCAGTCAAGCCTGTGAAGAGAAGCATCTGGTGCTGTTCCTATCCAAACTACTCACCAATAATTCCTTGGGACATATCTTACTACTTTTTCTTTTACAAAAAGACTGAAGAGAAAGCACAAGGCCACACAAAATTGACTTCTCCCTGTCAATATAACAACCCTCCCCCTTCTATAATGCATGTGAGCCTGTTAATGGCAAGCAGCAACCATGCATAGCAGTGAAGAAATTTCATCCGGAGCATCGGAAAAGTACACAATCCTTGTAGTAGAGCCCAGGAGGTATGGCATTAGTGACAGTGAATACCACAGGTACCTCTTCCTGTATTTGAGTGTCCGTTCATTTTGATGTGGGTTGTGTCTTTATGTTCTGGATGGGAACTGTGTGCTGGTATGGCAACACCAGGAGCAAAGTGTTTCTTTGACTGCTGGAGCTCCTCAGGCCTGGTAGCCAAAAGCTGATGCTCTCTCTCGGAGCAGCTCCTGGCACAAATGACAACTCCAGCTACCTGCAAATGAAGAAATCCTTCTTATAGGAATGACAGCAAATCCAGGCACTCAGAGTTTATGTCAAGATTGGCTTTAATAGGATATCAGGTATTCCTAACACTGGAATTGCCTGCATTTTTGTGAAGTGGTCTCTGCTGCCCTTGGTGCTGTGTCCATAGGCTTTCTGCATAAACTACAATGCTACTGGGGTGTGCATTCAATACACCACTTCCCAGTGGAATAGAAAGCTTTAGGTTATTATTAGCTTCATTTCAAATTTCTCCCCTCTACATTTAGCTTCTTTTTTACCAAAGCTACAAATATTAGCTCCTGAATCCATGATTGATTTGTAATTATTCTTGTCTTGCCCTTCATGTAAACTGCAGTCATTCACACTCACTTGTCTCCTTCTCCAATTCTACTGCTCTCTGCAGATTTTAGCCAGAGGATCTATAATGCTAGGAGACTAATTCCTCTGCTCCACAGCCAAGTGACAAACTACAACCAGTTGTAGTATAGTCAGATTGAACCCCCTGCAGAGGTCATAACTACATACCAAACGTAATACAGACTATAAAATTCTCACCCTGCCGAGGTAGAAACAGATCACAGAGCAAGAAAAGTAATTCCTCTTGACCCAGTCTCCTGACACCAGACTCTCAGGTGCTCCCGAGAGGGCCTCCCTGTCTGGGGCTTTCTCTCTGGAACTTGGACTTCTTAGAAATTCCAAAATCACAATTCACAGGAGCTCAATTCAGTTGACTAAATTGAGGTAATGACATGTGGGACATCCCAAGGTACCCATGACCCACAAAAGACTCATGTCCTGGAAGAGGAGGTAAAGACCCAGCAAGATTGAATAGGATGTCACAGACCACACTAGACCTTCACATCTTAATTTTCTTTCTTTCCAGGGCTAACTGTCTCTGCTTTGCTACTGCTTCCTTAACCCTGCATGGCCCAGATCACCTTTCTAAAATTCTTCCCTTCTCCACAAGGACTTCATTGTGATTTTCAAAGCAGACTTCCAACATATGTTACCTTCTGGGGGCTCAAAGACTGGTGGATTCAAGCAATACATGTGATAGCCACGGTCACAGTCATCACAGAAGAGCAGCTGGTCCTGAGGCACGTTTGTTGAAGAGACAGTAGGGAAACAGGAAGACAAAGAGAGGAGAAGAGATAAAATGATGTCAAATTAGTCTCTTGCCAAGATGAAAACATAAGAATGGTAACCAGCAGCGCTCAGCTAGGAATGCAGAGCTGCAATACAGAGACTAAGAGACTGCTGGGAGTGTAAAAGGCTACAAGCATCACATTTGTGCATCCACGATCAACCACCATATATCGGAGAGGCTGCAGAAAGCCCTTCTAATCACAAAGGCAGTTCAGCTTCTGAGAAACTAGAAAATCATTATGAGAAGTGGAGGACTTGCTTCCAAGGTGGCCTCATGATGCAGGAGTAAAAGAGCTGTTAGGCTGGGCATACACTGTCTGAAGAGGACAGGCTTTGCTGGGCTCCAGTGGGACCATGCGTTGGATCTCATCCCTTCAGAAAAAACCTTTTACTTACACAATTCTCCAAAACTCAGCTGAGTAAATTCTTTGTGAAACAGATGGGAATAACATGACCACACCATGTGGTCTGCAGCTCTTTCATATATTTTGGGTGAAAAAAGCTGCTTTGAAGTATCCCATGATTCTTAAGGCAGAACAGCTCCCTGGCTTCAGATTTCCTTCTTTATTGCTAAAGCAAAAACAAAATCTCAGGTTTCAAATGTATTCTGCTATAAGGAATGCAGTGTTAGCTAGTTGCCTCCAAAGTTCTCCAGTCACTGTCAGTTCTCCCAGTTTCTCACAGGCCATGAAAGACCCTTAGCATCAGATTTTAACTGAAAACCCCACAGAGAGATGTTGCTCAGCTGCAGGCTCTGGCTCATAGTTTGGAAATCACTGGAATAGGTGATTAGGTGAGGCCTAACCATCCCAGTTCAAATGCTTTCATGTTTACTTAGTCTTGTAAAAAAACCATGCCAAGAAAGTAAGGAAAATCATGGACAGAAGAAACATGCTTGGGTTATCACATATTCACATCTACTTCTGACTACCATATTGAAAAGAATACTCTCTTGAAATTCCCTGCAACAGGAGTTTATGGCCCCCAGTTAATTTCTATTGAATAAGCATACAAACTGCAAGTATCGCCACCTTAAGTGGCCCTATATGATACCTGTGGTAAATTCAGACCAATGGCTGAATGGGGACACTTGGGAGAAGCCCATCTCTGCTCTTAGGGGTGGCTCTTCCTTGGAGATGCGTGAAAGTAGCGGCAAAACAACGACCCACACCACTGCCACACGCTCCTCAAGGGTGGGCATGGCAGCAGATTGCAGATGCTTATTTGCATGAAAAGATAAATGAACTCACATCGTTCTCAGAGGTCCCACAAAGGCTGCAGGATTTGCACTCAATGCATTGCCACTGATAGGTTTTAACAGCCTCAGTCATGTTTGTGGTGAACTGCAGGCAGGTCGGGTGTCCTGAGGAAGATCGGAAACAACTGTCATTGTTAAGGCTCACTTATTGCTTGTCAATTAACCGGTATTAACTTTGGGAACAAAACACACATGGACATGGACTGATCACAACATGGGCTGCAACTAACAGATACCAAAGAGGAAAGCAGGCATTAACCCTTTCGCTGCCGGGCACAAGAGAAAATCAGAGTCATCTCCACCCATTCCCCATTGGCAAAGCATTTTTATTCAGAGCTCTTAAAAATGGTTTGGCTTTGAGTTGTTTTTTGTGGGTTTGCTTTTTGGTTTGTCTTTTTTTTTTTTTTTTTTTTGAAAGAAAGCAAGAGAAAGGATGAAATCAGAAACAAACCCGATTTCAGAGAGAGACCATCTGTTTTAATAGAAATTGGACTACAGTTTCAATTAGCGTTGTTTCAACTGGAACGAAGGACCTGGTGGAAATGAGGTTATTCTCCATTTCACAGCTTCCCTTCCGAGTGTCCAAATGGGTGGAGCAATTCTGTAAACTTTGCTTAAATGGAAGCAGTGGTGTACAGAGAAGATGCAAGACAGGATGGAGGGATATAGCTTTGAATTTTTTTAAGAGCTCTGCCACTAAAGTTGGTTGGCACAGAAGAAACCAAATTGCACAGCTAACCTTCCAGGATCAAAACAAGAAACCAAAAGGAAAAAAAAACCCAAGCCAACTCCCACAATGAACTAAATGAAAGGAATAAAGAAGGGAAAGCTAGCAGAACAGTCACATCTAATTGGGAAGGACGAATTGCCAGAGTTACAACCCCCGCCCCTACATGCGTGTCAACTCCAGCTTTGCAAAACAGCGGTATCACAGTAGCAGGGTCAGCAATGGGCTTTCTGGAGGGGAAAATACAAACAAACAAACAAACCAAAGGTAGGATCAGTGTTCCTTCTGCAAAACAAAACAAGAAAAATACACCGCTGAAATAAAGTACTGTACTCCCAAACCACCCCTATCAGGCTGAGACATTGCCTAAATCACCTGCAATTAAGCTACTGGTGGAAAGCCACATATTTGGCATCTCTCTCTGACACATGAAAGCATTAACACTGTGCAGTCATTACAGGGATAGTCAACTGCTCATCTACAGAAACACTAGAAATACAGGTATGCACATCCATCACTACTGCCTCCTCCTAGAAACTCACACTGTCAGGTTTACAGGGTTTTTTCATCTCCAGCCAATGTGCTGTTCTTAGACTACAGCCAATGGGTATGAAAAAATCTTTTCCACTTCCACTGGCCTAAGTGCCTTTTTAAGAGTGGAGAAAGAAAGGCTGCTTCTCCAGTAAGAAAAAAAGGCATGTCTATGGTAGATGTGGGCACAGATGTGCCATCTTCATTACCAGACCTATCAGGAGTATTTTGCTGTGTCGTCACACCGCCCATCACCACCCTACAAGAAGTTTCTGTATTTTCTAGCTAGTGAAGCAAACAGTTGCTGAGCATTGCTGGGTAAGGCAATAATGCTGAGGGCAATATATTTCCTTTATGTGTCCATGGTACTACCAAATGCTGTAATAAGGATTTTTGTTCCCCAGTCATATTTCCATGGTTTTGATATGAAAACTAAGCCTGTCCAGCAAAGAAATGTGTATACATAAGTTATTAAGGAAATAGAACAGAAAATAAAGGAGATATTTAAGGAGGAAAGGATCAATGACATTGCTCCTATGACTCTTAAGCCTTTGAATAAAGAAATGTCTTGACAATACTGATGAGCTCAGATGGGCTAAGAAGATCACCGGGTTTTGGAGCCCTTGAAATGTCAGCACGAGACAAGTGTCAGATTTTACTGAGATTTATACTGAACCAAGTCCAAACTAAAGTTCTGGGGAGCTTGAAACAGCAACTATGCAAAAGAAGATTTGACAGAATACTTTTTCTTCCTGAGAGGACCTTATATAATTTCTGATACTATCAAGCTAGCAGAACCTGACATGACACTGATATATTCCTCCAGATCTGATTTACATTGAATGCAAACCTTATTCCAATACCAGTAAATAGAACAAATGGGCCACACTACACATTGGGAGGAATTCATCCCAGCATCAGAGTTGCTTCCAGAAATGTTGTTCATTCCTGGAATATATCACAAAAAGCAACTCATACAGAAAGGTGAGCTAATCAGAGTTAAATAGCTCGATTCACATTTGAAAAGAAACAGAAAGAATGGAACCAAACTTATGGAAATAAATCACAGCTAAATGTATACACATCTTCACATGCTCATTTGCCTATGTACACACATTTCTCATTGCAGAGACTCCAGTTAAAGACCCCCTTTTCTGACACGACATAAAGGTCACATGTCCCTTTGCAGCCATTCCCGCTCTCTTCCAGTTATCAGTCTTGACTTCTTTGTTACTCATTTGCCTCAAAAACACCTCTGCAATTCTGCTGCGCTGCATGTGTTGTATCAATAATGCCTCATCCTTGGAGTGATCCATCCTATTTTGCAGAGCACTTCTTAAGAACCTCACCTACCACGAGACTAAAAGAGGACTTGTGGACTGAGGATTCCTTAGAAAATATTAATAGTAGAGCAAGGGCCACAGTGGTTTCTTTTTACTAGCAATGAAGAAATATTTTGCAAAAATATACCAGTTTATTCACTCCATTAGACTCTGTCTCCCAGTAATGTAACTACAAGAGTAGTGTCTGAATAGCTGCAGATTGCTCTCTATTAGTCCAGGGCTTATGCCATGTGTAAGGCAAAAAGAATATCTCGTGGACATGTCTTTCTTAGGCCTCTAAGTCAGATCCTTTTTTGCATTAAGCAACATCCCTTGTAGTACCATGACCCTAATCTAATGTCATTGGAATCACTATTTTTACTTATGCCAGCAGCATGATGAGGCACTGTAACGTATGGCAAGCACACCAATAGATACATTAAAATTCTTTTTCGTTCCCTCCCTGCTCTCCTTCTTCATAATCTCTCTATATTCCTGCTACTTTTGTTCAGAACCCAGTGTTTTACATCCTATGAGAAAATTCACACATCCAAGACTTCCTGAGGCAATGTTAGTGAACATCATCCCTGCTCCATGTCACAGAATTTCTTAGCATTCCCTCTGTGTCAGAATACCTAAACACAAAGCCCTCTGTAGCTGCATGTGGCAAGTTAGAATAGGTAAATTCAAATTCCTCTTTTTATTTTTTGGTGTTGTTTTGTTTTGGTTTTTTTTTAAAGGCTAATTCAGCCCACAAACAACTTTCTTTTACACAAAGAGTAGTACAAAATATGGTTCAAGTTACTGGACACTATGGTAGTGCACAAGCCAGAGAGCTGAAAGTTTTCTTGCTTAAGTTCATCACTTTATGATTAAGATGAAGAAACAGTCTTATTTCACCTAAACTTGTGATAAACAGCATTTGCTATGGTAAAGGTGTGCAGCAAAGAATCTGCAGCTGGAACTCAGTTAATAATTCAGGTGGTGGCTCAGCCCTGGGAAACCCTGGATCACTCTCACAAGTAGGTATCATCAGCTCCACAGATCTAATAAGAGGAAGAAGTAACACATATTTATGGTGTCACCAAAGTCAATAGACAGACCTCTAAAACACACCCCGGGAGCAGTTCTGTTGAAGGAGAAGGCAATATGTTAACACTGACAGTTTCTAATCTACCATAACTATTCTCTACCTAAACTTTTGCTATGCTGCAATAGCTGTAAACAACATAGGCAATAAAACTTGCAGTGAGGTTTCCAACAGCTCATCCCTTTGTCTTAAAACAATATTTTAAACTGTAGATCAGGTTTGAAAGCCCTCTCGTCTTTGTCAAAACTCTCCTCTGGATCTGAACTCTGCAACTGAGACCATATTTTATAGTGACATCCATGTTTCACATGCCACTGGTTTTCATTGTACACTATGTTCACCAGACATCTGCTCAGAGGACTGGGGAGGTGAGGACATTCAGAGACCAATTCTTGTCTCCTACACCTAGTGCAATTGCAGGACAATGGGAGAGATAATTTTAAAATAAATATCCTAAAAAAATCTAAAAATCTCTTCTGCTTACACTGGCTGTATAACACTGAAGACCAAAACTGACATTAAAGGACAGGAGCAATCTGCTGCTCCCAGGCACTCTGTGACCAGTGAAGGCCTTAGAATGGCTCATTAGTGCTTTTTCAATAATGGATTCTGCATCACAAGATTAATTGCAGTCATGTGCTCTGTCACACCCGCCACAGACTATTTAAGTTAACAGTCCAATCAATAACCTTTTTGAAACAAAGGCAGAGATTATCTTGAAGAAAAAAAATAAGTAAAGATTATTTTTTTAAAACAAATGTGAAATTATTTATACAGAGTAAAAGGAATTTTGACCTACTTTCCAATTCTTTCCCTTATCTTCACTATGGTGGGCTTTTTAATCAATAGCATGATGAAAATTCACCGGGCTCCTGGCTATATTGCATCAGAATTTATTCCATAAACTACTCAGGTCTTTAAACAACTATAAATACGTATTACAGATATAATGACCTATGTCACAGGAATCTCATCCAAATAATGGAAGTTTTACATGCAAAGAAATGGCATGATTTCCTCCTGCTAAGAATAAGGATTGCTGTGACCACTCCCATCATTAGACAGAATTATTACCATTATATACATACAAAAGAAAGGAAATTTGTAATTCTAATAAGTGATATGATTTTATGGTTATGATATAAAAATTTAGCCCTCATTTGTCTGTCTAGGAAGGCATGCTTATAGACATGCAGTGTCAACAACAGACGGATTAGAAAAGGCCCTTAAAAACTCAAACAACCCAAACACACCAAAAGGCTTGGCTCTGCCAGAATCCCAGGTTCAAGGAGCTCAATGCTCAGAAAATGACTAGACATTCCTAAGGGATAAGGATAGGGAGTTCTTGGCATTTTTCTGGCCCTTTCCATCTTGCAGTGTGACGGTGCTAAGGTGTAGAGATATATGCTTGCCTGCTAAAATGGAGGTACTCATG